GTCAGAAGTGGGATTCGAACCCACGCCCTCAGAGAGGACCAGAACGCCCGCAGCCCAGTGCAATGGGCAAGGTAACCTTGAGTCTGGCGCCTTAGACCGCTCGGCCATCCTGACATGTGATTTATGTGTGAACGATAAGATGCAACATTTCTTAATCAATAGAAAAACATTGATAATGTAAATGAATAACCATAAGAAGTTGCTATTTGATTTTCATACCCCAGAACTCAATCCTAGTAAGCCTTTTATTTTCCTAAAACAAACCTTGCACCCACAGGTTAACAGCCCTGTGTTTATTGAAAAAATGCAAACATCATTAAAATGTGAGAAGATCATTAACGAGATAGCACTGTATTGTTCATTAGCAATGTCTTTTTAACGACCATTTTTTTAAATCTTGTATTCATTATATACTAGTTTTTGCCCTCGACTCTGTCCACTCAAAATTAAAAAAAAAGGAAACAGGATAAAAAGTCCTATGCCTGTCTCCTGATTCAAAGCTACTTACTCACGAATTTTCAACAAAATCAATTAAGCTGGTTTTAAGTTACAAATAGAATAACTGATATGAATTAATTTTATATAAGTATACTAGCTGTAGTCCGCGACTTCGTCCGCACTAAATATAAAAAAATATTAGTAGCCCATGCGTTCTTCCAAAATATGCGTTATACATATATGGCAAATTTAAGCGAGATCCATGCAGTCTTTCATGAGCTACCTTCGCTATGTAATAGCGAATAGTATTAGACGGTGAACCAGCTAGTGGCCACTATATTTCGCTAAAGCGAATTGACCGCTGTCCATAAGCGTCTGCAATATCGCGGAGCACAGAGGAATCGCGAAGGGAGAGGAATTTTGGTATTGCGGTGCGCCAAACTAACTATACTCAGCGGGGTCACACCACGGATAGAAGTTGAGGATAACTTTTCGCTACCGCAATCTTGGGTTCAGCGGCGGGGCCTGGGAACACACCCGGCACTTGGGACTGGAAAGGTTCCGCCTTTATAACCAAAATAGCTCTGAGTAGGCGTCTTCGGGGTATGACTCGTAACTAAGAGCCGAGTGTGATTCGCGTTTGAAATTGATAGGACTTGTCCTCCCCTAGGGAAGAAGCTGCATCGCCGGAAAGCGTTCTCGCCATAAAACGCGACAGGAATAGAAAGGTATGCTGCCTGTCCCTTTTACCAATCCTAGTAAGGAATGTGCGAAAGTCCCATATAACCATAATTTTCTCGTAGACCCAATTCAAAATTAACCGCTTTCAATGAACTGCTTTATTTCTTCTACTTAAATAGAGTCCACGGGTCCCCTGTGCCACTTTGGGAATCACAATCACTCATGAAATCGAAACAGCTATTTTCTAAACCAAGTTAATATTTTTTGTACTTACCAATGCAGCCTTGTCTCCATACTTCTTAAATGTCTTGATAAAGAATTCCCCCAAATGTAATTTTGAGGGGACAAAATTATCATCTGGATTGAACAAATACTTTGAGTTGCGAAGCATATTTCTTACGTTTTACGTGAGTTGTAGGACAGAGAGGATTTTATAATGTCTACAGTACCAGTGATAGTAATCGCACAACAGTTACATTGTTATGTTTTATAATACATAATTATGACTAAAAAACTGGGTTCAACTCGTTAAGGCCTGTTATTAAGCGGCCTGTAAATGATCAAACTATTTTATCAAACTTTATAGCTGGTGTACAAAGTCAATAGGTTTGAACTCGAGTGGCGATTCTTTAATTCGACAATTCGGTAATAGTAAATAATAAAAATATGAATTTGTCAATATTTTATATTTTTGACATAATTTATACAGCCATAGGTAACCAGGAGAGAGCCGCGAGTAACACCGCGACGTGTAGGTAAATCATCGATAACTTTTACGTGTTTGTCATTTTTAATAGTATGTCGTTTTGTTTGGCTTGTTTTCATGTTTGATCATAACGAAGAGAATCAAACAAATTTGTTAAAATTGTTCGATTGTTTGTCGGGCGCTTTATTTAACTTTATACAACTTACGTTTAATAAACATTTTGTTAAAAATAACAAAGCATAAAACAAAAAATATATTAGTTATTCCAACGTACAGTTTAACATTAATTATTTTATTAAATACTAGTGGTTGCCTGCGACTTCATCTCCCGCATAAATATAAGTTAGCTTCCAATTAAAGTCCCAACCGTTCCAAAGTCAAAACTGTTCCAGCAGTTTCAAGGATAACTCAGATCATGCTCATATTTACGTACAGACATATAGATAGAGAGACAAAGATTTAAGTAAAACATTTTCGTTATAAGCAATCATCTTATCGAAATATGATTTTTTTCATATTACATACAGACAATCTAATTTTAATTATTGTATAGATAGATGTAAATCAGGTTATGAACAATATTCTTCATTTAATAGGTTTTAATTTGCGTAGTTGTGCGTAAATAAGGATTTAAAAGCAGATATTTACAGGTATAATTTATTTTCAATGCTATCAACACTCGGATGTTACGTAACCAGGATTTTTTTCAACGAGCACTTCTTTTACTGCTTTTCTTATCAAGATGAATTGAAGCCATCTGTGGTGCCTTGGAACGTGGCTAAATACGACACACAGAATATAAGGGACTGGCCACCAACCTCCGCTAGCCCAAGAGCTATATCAAAAAGAATTTACAAACATGAGAACAGCAATAGTCTTTGAAATTGAAACGAAAAAGTCCGTCTTAGTAATTTTTAACTATAGAAATCTCTAATATTTATTCAATAAATGCGATAAATATATTGAATCGCGATTACTGAACACGTATAACCCACATCTAATTCAACATTTTGAATAACTGCCATGTATTTTTTAAGCTATTAGTAAGTGTTTCTTCAGCCGCAAACGCCCTTTATCTTGTTATTTTTTATTCGTAAGGTTTCTTGTTGGTGTGATTAAAATAATTGTATTAAACCTTGACTTTTGATTTTAATTGAAAAAATCTTTCCTCTATTTATTTCGTGTATTTTTTCTTTCAATTCTATAGTTGAAATTATAAGCCGTAAGCGCCAATTATTTCCCGACATATCTATATAAATTACTAATATTATAAATGAGGATGTTTGGATGGATGTTTGTTTGAAGGCTCCAAAATGACTGCATGGATCTCGCAGAATTTTGGCATATATGTAGAACATATAGGATACTAATTTTGTTTTTTCGAGTCGAAGGCGACAGCTAGTAAATTTTATAAAACAAAGTCGCTTTTCGTGACCTCTGTTTGGCTTCAATGTTCTGCTAAGCAACCAAACAAATTAAAATACATTCTTCAACAGCATGTCGTTACTTCGATTTTTTTTTGTATATATTTTATTGCTAGCTGTCGCCCGCAACTCCGTCCACGAGGAATTAAAAAAAAAACTTAATTAGTAGCCTATGTGTTCTCCCAGACTGTGTTCTACGTCTGTCAAATTTGCCGCTCCGGTGATACCTTCAAACAAACATCCGTCCATTCAAACATTCACATTTATAATAAAATCTGGATGACCGAGAAAAAAAAATACCGAGCAAACTCGGTATTTTTTTTAAAATTGTGTTTTTTGGAAATTATAATTAAGTACGAATTACTAATAAAATGATGAAATATGAATAATGTTTTTCGATCTTACCGATTGAAAAAGTTAAGTTTATGTACAAGTTGATTATCGATAAAACACGAATAAAATTACATTTTGTAAAAATGATTCCTAGCTAGATCGATTAATCGCCCCCGAAACCCCCTACATACTAAATTTTATGAAATTCGTTGGAGCCGAATCCGAGATTCCAATTATATATTTATATATACAAGAATTGCTCATTTACAGATATAAGATTAGTAAGATAATCGAAGTTAAAATGTACATTTTTGGCTTATGCGTTATCTCAAATCTTTTCAAAAAATTACAAAGAAATCTGCGATGGCATATCTCTCTTTTACATTTTTCTCGCATTGTTTTATTTCATTTTTGCTTTAACACGTCAATGAAAAGTCTCACGTTATTTGAGACGCAATTTTTTTCGGATTAAATATTAATTCTTAACCAAATAAATGTGTTATGAGGAAAATTGAATGTAGATTCAAATTACTGATTGGAGTACATAATTCTGAGGAATAATTTAAAAAGATGAAATGATCACAAATAATAATTATAATTGAAAAATCAACTAGTGTTAGGCGCAGCCGTTTTTGTGAGACGGAACTTACTGAGAAGGGAAAGGTATTCATATGACAGAAAAGAGATCAGATGTTTTGGTTGCTAACACTGTTGTTTTTTTTTCTAATACCATATTGCTTTGTAGTATTAAGTAATTCACCTCATATGTTAAATATCAGGATGGCCGAGTGGTCTAAGGCGTGAGATTTTGAATTTTCCTTGCCCATTACACTGGGCTGCGGGCGGTCTGCTGCTCTCTGAGGGCATGGGATCGAATTCCATTTTTGACAAATTATTTTGTTCCCCAATTTAATGTTTTTCAATTTAGCGTTTAAGGTCTGACATAATTAGAACCTCGCGTTTTAACCCGTGAATACAGTCTAACATAAAGTAGGTGACCAATTTACCGCTACACTCAAAAGCTGGACTAAAATAATAGAGAGCGCTTTAGTTATATGGGAAATTTACAAAGATAAGTATGTACCTCCGTTAATAAATAATTAACGTTAGGGCTGCATTTAGTCTACGGGAAATTAAGGTAAAATAAAAGTGATACTGTTTATATTTGTTTATTAATCATACAACCGTTCTGGAGATACCTCCAAACATCCCTCCATTCACATTTATAATATTAGTAAGTCATATAGTTCTGTGTTGGGGCGTGATGCGGGACGAGCTAGTAGCTGTATAGTAGACGTAGCTGTACGTATCCTTGTCGCCTTCGGTACGCTCCAGATATTCCTTCTCGATTTATATTTCGACACATTTTTGTGAACAGGCAACATGTTGAGAATTACATTGCTTAATATTTTCTTTTCGGCTATTGTAAAGAATAAACATCGAATACTGAACCTGTTGTTTAGTGGTAATTTTAACAGTCTTTTACTGAAGATTTCTGACCACATTTTCGAGTACAAGTATTTTTTTCTGTAACTGCAACACTGCTAACGAAGGTGACTGTACCTCGTTATGTAGTGGAAATATACCTTAATGTCGCATACCAGTGGCTCCATATTATTTACGTTCTTCATTTTATCAGTTGTTTATAGTCTAAAGGAAATCATTGTGATGCAACCAGCACATATCTCCAAAGAAATTCAAGTATGTGTGTGAAGTCAATCAACCCGCACTGGTCCGGCATGGTTGACTATGACCTCATCATCTCTAATTTAGAGGGGTATTTGAGAATGTATGTATTATAATTTGACGACAATATGATTTGTAACACAAAAAAACATATTTGAGAAGTGCCTTCAAAGAAAGTTTCTTAAAATCAAGATCCAATAGTTAAATAAAATAAAGTCAAGTCAACTTACAAAGATTGTACAGTATGTTAAAATTTTATTTGATATATCGCAATTTTGTTAAAATTTAGATTTTGACTATAATTAATATAAATGAATAGTTAATGTTTGTTTTTAACTCATATCATGTGATTATGTAAATTTGATTTTCCGGGCATTTTAATTTTTTTTAGCATATAATTAATTTTGAAATACAAAAACATTCTTATTTTTAATCTATCAAAGAGCAAGTAATTTCTTGGTAGGAATTTAGTTTAATTTTTTTTTATATTAGCAGATTTTTTATAAATTTACTAATATTTCTTTAACCATTCCAACTAAGCCCTAGGCTTGTGCTAGGATATGGTTTTCCTACAATAGTGGAATAGCGGGATTCCAACCCCCGACCTCATGGTTGGAAATCCGTACCCTTAACCATTAGGCTATTGACGCTTGATATGTTATATACTAGAGATATAGATATAGTATGCATCAGATACCTTCCCTTCAAAGTCTCATCAAAAATCAAGATCTGAGAGTATTCGGAAAAAACACAACCTTGAGGCTAACAGGCCAATAGACAGATATTTTTTTTTATGTCATAAGGTGGCAAACAAGCGAGCGGCCACCTGAAATGGCTGAAATAGCGAAGTGACCGTTGCCCATAGACATACGCAATTGCATATGCGTTGCCTACCTTTAATCGACGGAGGAGTGGATGCACAGAAAGAAAATATTTTCCCTTCCCATACACCCTCTCATCCGGAAAGTCCACTTCCACTTCCCATCCTTTCCTTATAAGGAAAAGGTTGGGAAGGGAAAGAGGACTAATTTAGGCCTCCGGGACGCACACTTATTAGACAAAACGCGGAATTGCTTCCACTTCACGCCTGTCTTCTGCGTGATCGTGGTATTTCACCGGGCGAGCCGGGCCAATTCATGCGAAGATATTAAAGTGGGCTCTACCACTGTTAAAATATTTTTTTACACCACCAAATTGATCTTGACGATTCTCCTATTACAAAACTGATTACTATGCTATTATTGATAAAGATTGAGGTTATGTGCACATAAATATTATAATATCCTTTTAGCGGGATCTGTGTCATTGGTTTGCAT